TTGCTCTTCCTCCTGGTCTCCTGTTTCCCTCCTTACCTCAGGGCTTTGGTCTCCATAAACTAGGTTGGCCAAGGTAAAGCCCTCCTCACTAGATTAGCAAGCCTGTCTGTGAAGATGGTCATCAGGTGGATACCATCTCTTCGCAGCAATCCTTCTTCTTGGAACAACATCTCATGGCCAAAGAAGCCAAAGCCCTGATGGTGACAACACCTGTGCAGCCAGGTATTGATCTGCAGGATGCACCTGTTCCTGCCTGGGCCCTTTCTCTTGACCAGAAGGATTGAGGAGAATACCACATGAGCCCCAGACCCCTTCACCCTTGCACCCAGAGCCCTGTAGTCATTTTTGATCTGCTCAGGGTCCCTGCCTGGTAGTATCATTGGTGCCCACATGGATGATCAGCATGGGGTTAGAGGGCTGGATGAGTCTCGGTAATCCCTCCATGACATCTCAGATCTGGGCTCTGGGCAAGCAGCAGACTTCCTGAGACAACAAGTCAGGTCGGCAGATGGCTCTTTCTGTCCCCCACAGACGGGAGTTTCCAACCACCGCCACCCATTGCTTCTTCTTGGTGGCAGCTGTCTTGATCCTTCCCACCATAGCGAGGCCTGGCTTTTCCTCCTCCACCAATGGAACATGCACTTCGCTCTCTCTTGCCAGGGCCATGTGTCTGCTCTCCAGATGAACAGCTGCAGGTCGAGGTGAAGATTTCTGCTTGCTGCCAGAAGTCACAGGCTTCCATCGTCCACTCCCCTGGGAATCCATGTCCTCTCTCTTCTCTAGCACTGCCTTGGGCAGTTCATCCTTCACAATCCTGGAGGTCTCCTCCAGCGTCAAATCAATCAACTCCTCATGGTGGAGGATGCTTCAGAGCCTCACCACCTCCTCCTGTAGCTCTTTTCTGTTCCCTGAGAGAGACCACCAGGAGGCACTGATCACACCGCAGGCACCCCGCTACTTGGCAGGCAGGAGAAGAAACCTGCAAGCTGCAGGCCCCACAGCACCCAACCCTAACCCATGTGGAAGCCTCGATGGTGAGTGGTCCTGCCTGGACAGAAACCTTAGGGGTGCAGGATGAGGCAGTGGCTCTGGCATTGTGATATCTGCCAGCCATTTCCCTGGGTCTCTTAATCTGCTCTCCCCTCAAAAAGGAGGCGGGGGGACGGGGGGTGGTAAACTGGCCTGCAAACTACTTGCCCTGTTTGCTGGCTCCTTGGTTGCTCAGGGAGTATCCTATTTATACCCTGCTGGGCCTGGACTGACTCCACCCCCTCATTAGGGCTTCTGTCAGGCCGAGGCAGCAATCACTCAACAATCAACAATCCTCAGCCAGCAACACTCCCAGCTTCTAAGAGCACATGCCCCAAACACACAGCAAGTCAAAGGCACAGGCAGCTCTGGAACACTTGCCTTCCCTGGGCAGGATCTGGGGCCTGGCTTCTTTTCCCCTTCCTCCTCTTGCTCCCAGCAAACTGCCTGTAAACTGCTTACCCAGTTTGCAGCCCCTGTTTGCTGGCAATTTAAAATTTAGAAATACTTTTAGATCACCTTCAACATTGATGTCCCTACAGGTGAGTTCTATTAACAATTTGGGATCTCTATTGATTGATTTATTTGTTTGTTTGTTCGCTTGTTAATTGTAACAGGATTTCAGTTCACCATTATACTGCCAAATCTTGCTTGTCTTAACAAGGCTGCTAAGCTTTTGAAGAGCCTCCCCTCTTCTGCTGAATTCAAAGTACTTCAAAGATAAATTCCCCCATTGCCCCTTTAGAAGGAGGAAAATAAAACGCACAGAGGGATTTTCAAGACCATCTCTCTACTTCAGAGTTCCACTGAAAGTCAACAGAAATTGTACTTCTAAATCATCTCAGTGCCTTTGAAAAATCTCACCCAAAGTAGCTTGTCTATAGTGTTTCCAAGAAGTCCTGCACCATGGGTTTGAGAGCCCCTTGCACAGTAGAATAGTTCCTGGATGTAAAGGGAAGTAACACTCCCTAACCCATATTTTATGTCCTGTGTAGGCTACCCATTGCTTGCACTCTCATTGAACAAGTAGGCAAAGAGAAGGTGAAGCCATGGCTGGCCAGGACAGGAGGAGGTGCCTTTGCCACTGGCCCCAGGAGTACAGTGGAGGCAGAGTGGTGGGTGCATGTGGATTATCCCCATGCACAGCTTGTGGCCAAATCCTGACATGAATGCATAATGTGTAAGCTCGCACTCAGTGTGGCTCAGTGAGACTGCTAGTGCGAGTCAAGGAAGCAGGGCTTGGTCCCAAGAGGGTTAAACTGTTCAGTCTCTATCCCTGGCTGACACTCTCCCCTCCAGAATTTGTGTGTGCCTGCAGTGCACACAGTTTCATATTATCACCACAATTAAACTGCATTTTTGTTACCTATTAGGCACATTAACATAATATCTACAGTGTGTAGCTCGTTTTTATTCACATGCATGGAAGTGTGAAAAGTAATATCGAGCTTCAGTCATGCTTCTTATCAAGTTTGTATTGATAAAGGATTAATACTGTATTATTATAAAGCGATCCAATACAACGTGACCTTCCTCTTCCCTTCAGTTCCTCCTCCTCCCCTGCCCCAGATTCAGCAGCTTCTCAGCTGCTCTCTGCCACAAGTCCTTAGTGACCCAAGTCTTTCCCACCTCTTGTTCTCCCTTCTGCCCATTCTCATCAGCTCCATCTCACTCCCTCCCTTCACAGTTGAAGCCTGTTAGTCAATCCTAACATCTATCCTTGTCTCCCTTTACCTGGCCAGCTAAGTTCCTGTTTCCCTTTCAGGTTTACATCCACTGAACATGCTGTCCACAATTCCTTCTGGATTTCTCCTTTTCTAGTTCCATCTGATCCTCCCTCCAATACAGCTTCTGCTCCTTTTGCTGCATGGAAACCACTCTCACCAACATCTCTAATGATCTCTTTGTAGTCAAACCTTAGTACTGCGAGCTGCATCCTCATCCTCCATGAACTTCCAGCTACATTCAGCACCATTGCCCAGGCTCTGCCTCTTGAAATCTTGCCTTACCTTGGCTTTTCAAGCCATGCCTTTCCTGATTAACCTCTTTTCCCCATAACTACTGCTCCGGTGTGTCTTCCTAAGGATCCACCAGTCAGCCTATCATTCAGGCCTCGTACCTGAGCTTCCCTTTCAACTCAGACCTCTTTCTAGGCCCTCACAGTCAGGCTTTGACTACATCTTTCTGCATAAGATGGGGCCTTTCCTCCCTTCTTGTGCCTGGAATATAACCATCCTTTAATTTGGTCTTGACAATAAGATCTAGCCTTGTCTGTGTCAATCTAGAATGCTGCTAGAATAATTATAACTATGCCCCTCCTTTTTTCTTGTCCTTCCCTTGACTCTCCCTTCTCTTGTATATCAAACGCAAGCTCCCTGTGTTTGTTTTCAAGCCCATTCATGCCCTATCCCAGTCCTTCCCATCATATCTCATTTATTACTGGAATGTCAGTTCCCAAGTCTTATTAGCCCAAGGGTCCAGTGTTCCCCTTCCCCTTCTAAACTTTTCAAACGGACACATCTTTGCTTTCTCCCGTGTGATTCTCATGCTTGGAAGGAGCGTCCTTGTGGACATCCACAAAACTACTATGTTAGTCTCTTTCAGCTCTATTCTTATAATTCATTAACTACCAGAAAACATGACAGTGCTTAAGTTGCCAGTGCACTGAGAAAACTGCCTGTCACACTGACAAATACTGATGTACTCTCCATCTGCACAAATCCCTTGGTCTTCTCTAAAAGTTGGACTTTTGGCTTTCTGAGGAAAGAATTGTTTCTTTGACCTGGGTATGTAGAACACGTAGTCTCTGACCTAAGCTACCACATGCTACCATCATACAAGTAAATACCGATATGGAATAGTTGTTTTCATAAACAGCAGAATTTTTTACAGAATCCAGCAAGATAATGAGGCCCTCTGAACCACAGTTTATAAGCTCTATTTCATCAGTAACACAAACAACTTATGTCTGTAACATGCATGTAACACCTCTTAATCATTTATTAAACCTTTATAACCCTTTCATGCCAAGTAAACTCTAATGCCATGAGTGATGCAGACCTCTTATTACTTCTTCACCACTGTATCCGTTAGAAATTAGAAAGCTAAATTTTCAAAGAGGTGCCTGTGAGAATGCAAAATGAATGCATGAAATAACAGCTATTTGCATTCACAGAATATGCAGTAGCATGTGAAGCCAGGTAATTGCTAGATAAATATATTTGCACCTTGAACAAACAGCAATGACTCCTCTACTGCATATACAGCAGACATATTTGTGTCTATCTGAGCTAACTACTATTGTTTCTGGGCAATTTGGAAGCCATTTTGGAACAGTTAGGGGTAAAATCCCAGCCCCAGATGATCAATGGGAATGTTGTCATTTATTTCAATATTGCCACTATTTTACCTATGGCTCATTAGGAATCCAGGTTACCAGCCTCCCCAGTTAAACCAGTATGAATTAACTTTCTGTTTCAAATAGCCCCTTCAACAAGTATGTGAGTATGTTCCAGCTAAAAGATCATGCAGAAAGCCTGAATATGGAAAAAGACTGCTTAAGGAATATGCTGTCTTGTACCTTAAAGCACTAGAAATCTGAAGATGGCTACACTTCCAAAATTATGAGTACAGTCTAACTACTCATCGTGAAGTTTCTATTATTTAAAATGAATTCAACTATAGTGATATCAGCATAAAAGTCTTGGCCAGCAGTGATGATTTCAAAAAGAAAAAAAAAAGGAAACTCAGGGATGGACCTGAAAAATAACAAAGTGAAAGGAAATTAGGGAACCCAATATAAAATATTTTTATTCTACTGCAAAGGAGACAACAATTGAAATAGATTATTTAGATGTAGATTGAGACTCTGCCGCTTGTCACAAACATCCTCCAACTGCTTTTCCCAGTGTTGCAAGAATCACTTCAAGGGAGGATGAGAGGCCAGCATCATTGCCTTGATTAACCGGGCGTGTAGACACTTCTGGGTTTCTTTCTTTTTTTCGAAAAACATAAGACAGAGGAAATCATATCATAACCCACATGAGCCTGTGGTTTGGAAAGACGGGCGGGTGGCTTCCTGCAGCTGCAAGGAATGATGGGGAGTCAGATAGGGCTGGGCTGTTACACAGTCCTCACATTTTTTCATAACTCCTTTTTCCACACATGCACCCCCGCCTTTAGTGCTGCAAAACTGCTACCCAAAGACTGCTAGAAAAATGGATTGCTTGGGTGTCCCCTCATTCAGCTATCAAATCTTTCCCTTCCAACCCACTAAATAAAGAAGGAAATAAAAAAGGAACCGTTGCATTACAAAAAATAATGAAAGCAAAGTAAAATCGTTTTTATGCAAGCCCATGCTAGAGAATCAGGAAGGTATTCATTTTATTTTGTGTACCTAGACAGTGATTTTAATGTTATGTAAATGCAGCAGGCAATTCCTAATCTATCCTGAAATGTATGTGTCAGAGCTCTTGTGTAGTACAGGTTACTGATGATAAAAACAAGATGTGTTTTTATACAAGGAAGGCGCGTGATTACCAGCTTTAGAATTTTTTTTTCATTACAAATTTAAAATAGGACAAGCCATTGCAATGGAAACTGAGGGGCACCACCAGAGCAAGAGCTAGTGTCTTTTCACAAGAGTCAAGTTTGACAAGCATTGTTTGCTTCTGTCCTTGATACCAGAAAAGCTAGAAATGGGAGCAGCCTGTAAAGCTGATCAGGTTGAAAGCTTTTATTAATCCTTAGAGCACCAATGTTCCTCATTTTTTTTTTTTAAGAAGGAAACTTATCTGGTCTGAAGAATGTTTCCAAACACTCTGTAGACTCTTGAGGTTGTCCTGATAAGACAATCTCAAGATCAGAAGGCTTCTTTCAGAGAGGAAGAAGTAGTTCAGATATTAAGCAGGGTCCAAAAAAACCTCAGGTCCAACTGTCAAGAGAGTTAGTGCTATGTGCTCAGAAGGACTTTGGCATCTAACTGCCATCTAAATGCTCTTCTAATGCCTAAGTTAACAGTTTAGATCCTCAGATCCCCCTCTCAGCTTCCCCTTAACATGCCTAAGTTTCCACCAACAAACAAGTGCCTCATCTACTTAAACAAATGGTTCTATTTGCATCCAGCTGCAACGCTTCAACAGTTTAGCAGCTAGAAACGCAGGTCATCAAGGTCACAATCCCTCCCCTCCCTTGCTTGTGAGACCCTGTTCAGTAGGCATTCTTGATGGTGTGCATACCTTTTCCCATGTGAATTCTACTAGGTGGCAAGAAGAAGGGCCATCCAGCTTCTGTGGTTTAGGAAATAGTGTGCACTGGCCTAACAGGTAAATGATCTGACTAACAGATTATAGGTCATTTGAGTGGGGTTGAGGGGCCTGGAAGGGGAAGTGGAAGAGCTTCAGTAGAAGAAACAGTGTGTACCTGCCCAAAATGCACTGCAGCCTGAGTGATAGACTGCTATTACAAGAGATGTGGATTTAGCTCTTTTTATGCAGAGAAAAAACTGAATCATAGAAAAGCAGGGCTAGTGCCACCTCGTGAGGTCATATAATCCGGCTCCCTGCTCAAGGCAGGGTCATCCCTGACGAAACCATCCCAACTGCTGTTTGTCTTTCCAGGGATAAAAGATTCTACAATTTCTCTAGGTAGCCTGTTCCAATGCTTACCCCTCCTCATAGTCAGAAGGTTCTTTTCCATCTCCAACCTACTTTTCCTCTGCTCCAGTTTGAGGCCATTACTCCTAATCCTGTCCTCTATGGCCACAGAGAAAAGCCCATCTTCAGTGTTCCACATCCTGGGCAAGTGCTTTGACTACTGAGCTATTCAGGCTGAAGGAGTAGTATGGCCTCCTCCTCCTGTGTTTGATCAGACATGGCAGGCTTTGTGACCTGACTAGGAGAAGGGTCAGGGCTGTAAATCCCAAGCAGAAGCAAACATCTCCCTCCAGCTGAGAGTTATGTGCTTACCTCTATGAGAAATGGTGCTGAAATCACAGAATCATAGAAAATTATGGCTGGAAGGGACCTCAGGAGGTCATCTAGTCCATCTCCCAGGCCCATCCCCAACTACATCATCCCAGCCAAGGCTTTGTCTAGCTGGGTCCTAAAAACCTCCAAGGATGGAGATTCCACAGCCTGTTTGGGTAACCTGTTCCAGTGTTTTACTACCTCCTAGTGACAAAATGTTTCCTCGTATCTAACCTAAACTTTCCTTACTCCAACTTGAGACCATTGCTCTTTCTTCTGCCATCTGCCACCACTGAAAACAGGCTAGCTCCATCCTCCTTGGAATAGTAGTTGAAATCTGCTATTAAATCTTCTGTCAGTCTTCCCTTCTCCAGACTAAATAAGCCTAGTTCCCTCAGCCTCTCCTCATTAGTCATGAGCCCCAGACCCCTAACTATTTTCACTGCCTTCCTTTGGACTCCCTCCAATTTGTTCACATCATTTCTGTCATGGGGGGGCCAAAACTGGACACAGCCTCCAGATGTGGCTTCACCAGTGCTGAATAGAGGGGAAGAATCGCTTTCCTTGATCTGTTGGCAACGCTCGTATTAATGCAGCCCTGTATGCCATTAGCCTTCTTCAGTACAAGGGCACGCTTGTGGCTCATACTCATCTTATTGGTCACTGTAACCCCCAGGTCCTTTTCTGCACAGCTGCTGCTTAGCCAGTCAGTCCCCAGTCTGTCAGTGCATGGGATTGTTTCATCCTAAGTGCAGGACTTTGAATTTCTCCTTATTGAACCTCATGAGATTTCTTTTGGTCCAATCCTCCAATTTGTTGAGGTCTCTCTGAATCCTAGCCCTACCCTCCAGATTATCTACTACTCCCCCGAGCTTGGTGTCATCTGCAAACTTGCTGAGTGCACTCTATCCTATCTTCCAGATCATTGATGAAGATATTGAACAAAACCAACCCCAAGACCAACCCCTGGGACACTCCACTTGATTCTGGCTGCCAGCTAAATATCGAGCCATTACTACCCTCTAAGCCCAATGGTCCAGCCAGTTTTCTATACACCTTACAGTCCATTCATCCAACCCAACTTAAATGCTAAGCTGCAGGGTGAATCCAGACTCCTGCCCCACTTGGAAGCTTAGTCACTTGACTCAGGATCACATCTAGGTAGCTCTGTCTGTTGATGGATTCCCGTTTTTTGTATAGTGTATAGCCTAGTGTTTAGGGGGTACAGGTTTTAGTCATGTTGGTCTACCAGCAAAAAATATGCAGAACTCTTAGCGGAGGTGATATATTTTATTAGGCTAACTAAATAGTTGCAAAACAATTACTTTATTTGCAAGCTTTCAGGCTCACTCGCCCTTCCTCAGACAAAGGAGAATGCATAGATTGTAACATTTCTCCCTAGTGGTTACAACAGCTATCCAGAATCAGAGCCCTCAGGCCCCCTGGATCAGTATCATAACTGCTAGGTTGCACAGCCATACTCCTTACACCTCTTGCGGGCACTGTGAACCTTATATTCTTTTCTGCACAGTGACCCAGCTTCAACAGGAGGAGAAGGGGGGATTGCCTTGTCTGCAGAAGAGCTCAGAGGCCTTTTGGTTAAGATTGTTTTTTTTGGGAGGTGGGAACATATAAGTGGAAGGGACTTCCTGTGGGGGTATGGGTTTGAAACCTCCGAGGCTGAGAAAGATCCACAACCTATGTCTCCCCTTTTCTAGGCAAGCATGCAAGGGTATTGCGTAAGTGATGGGCGGTGTCATCACCACCACTTGTAGGCCCAATTTAAAATGAAGTGACTATAACTGTTTTCTGAGGGACCCAATCCTGTCTTTGTGGGGTAAGCATGCTCCACAATATGACTCATTCAGGAACTCAGCATCTCTCCACCCAGCTTCTGGATCATCCTGGGTGTAGACATGACCTAGGCACCTCACTGCTCATGTCCAGAAAGGGCTGGGTGCACTCAGTACTGTGATTGGAGGTATTGGGGGCATGTCCAGGCCCAACGAGGAGGCACATAATGAATTTTAGGGATTCCCAGTTGGGTGACTGCTGAATAGGTGGCTTTTGGGATTGTAATTTTGGATTTACGCACCTGAAGTCTGCATACTTCCTGTCTTGGATCTAGGGTTAAATCTTTCCAGGTATGTCAATACCATGTCCTTGGCACTTCCCTAAAAGTGGCGTTACCACTTCATTTCCAAGTCTGACATGGCTGAGAGGCAGGGAGAGGTGGGAACAAAGTACAAACAAACCCTTTGACTCTAGGCCTTGAAAACTACCTTTGGCCACCTATACATAAGCAGCAAGGCTGCTCTGATGCTTACAGTGCATTAGAGGAACAGACTCAGTTAACTGAGTCTGCTGGAGTGTAGTAATTACCACACTCCAGCAGCCTCCAGGATCTCTGATACAAGGGCATCAGTGTCCTGCACTTAAAAATGGCGACGGGGACACTTAAAAATGGTGGTGCCGGGGGGAAGGGGGGGGAGGGGGGCTTTATGTCCCTTTGTGCTCCCCCACTCCCATGCTAGTCTATCCCATCAAGGAAATTAGAGCAGCCTCGGAGTGATCCAACTGACATCAGCTGGTAACAGTCTCAGTGATCATCAGTACTGTGCTTTGCTAATGACCCTGTTTCTAGAGGGTGGGAATAGCCCAAAATACCCATGCAGGTTGGGGAAATCTTAGGGAAATCCCAGCTGTCAGTTTTGTGTGCCTTTGTATCAGAGGAAGCACACAGAGAGAGGCCAGAGCAGGAGCCAAGATCTGGTTTCTGATCTGATCTGTAATTTAATGTCTTAATCTATCAAAATAAAAAAACCTTGAATCAGGTTTAGAGATTGTATTGTGCCAAAAATCTGTCTAACTAACCATGTATGTGATTCTAAAGTGTTTCAGGAGGTGTTAATAGGGAGCAACTCCACAGAAATAATTGGGGCACATTGCTGAGCAGTATGCTAAGAGAATGGTAGTTTGGGTGGGAGTCTGTACCAACTTTAGGGAGGTTATCTAAGACAAATTCAGCTGTTCAGTATAGACTTCCTTAGAGTCTTCACCCCCAAGGGCCAGAATATAGCTAAAAATTCCTTCTTCCATCTACAGAACCATTATTGCAGGTACCAGAATTTTACATTATACCCTCTGGGGTAGCATCTGGAGGCTGGGCTGGGACACAGATGTGCTAGATGCTATATAATCATGGAATCATAGAAAAATCATAAACCTTTAGTAAATGTCAGTTTCTGCCTCAGGAGATCACAGCCTAAAGCACTTTCCCCCATCGTTCATATCTGCCCAAAGGGAGTGTACAATGCTACCACCAGTGTGAGTAAATAACTAGGGTTTTGTTCAGAAGGACTGTGCAGCTGTGCCCAACTGTATAAAATTGTGCCCAAATATTTGTGCTCATGTGAGTGAAATCAAAATTCAGTCCAATCTTTTTTATACCAATGTCAGTGGATTGTCATAGATGGAACAACAACTTGTTTGTACCTTATACTAAGAGCAGAATCAGGGTCCCCTTTTAGAACAGTCTCATGCTTGCTTCTCATGCCCCACATATGCACTACTCTGAATTTAAAATTAGATTTCCAGGAAGACTCTCCTTCACTTCCTCTAAAAGATTACTGTTTCCTTATATAGTCCTACTTCCCTGCTGGAATATTTCCTGGTAGAATTCAATGATATTCACTTACCTCTCTTCAGTAGCTGGTGGCTAAATTCAGCCCTGGAGCAATTATATTAAGGATTTGGTCTTGTTCCTGTTAAAGACAATGTTAAACTTTCATAGATTTTGGTGAGGTGGACTCAAACCCTCAAAATAATCAAGTTACATAAGAATTTAATTTAGCCTCAAGAATCGGCAATGGATGCTGAAAGCAAGTAACAGAAATTAGGGATCAGCTATGTGACAGAAATCAGGATCTGGGTAACAGGAGACACCCTTTGTCAGCCTTCCTTTGGTTGTCTAAGCATGTACCCCGTAGCTGTCAAGGACGAGCATGCCCTGTGGTAAGAATCAGTATATGTACAGGAATGTCTATGGAGCCAATCTTCAACAGAAGATCTGTCAGACAACTTCTAAATATCATAAACTGGTTAACTGAACAACAGGTTTTCCTATTTTTGAAAGGGGCCTTTGAGATATCTCAATAGCCCCCGCTGACTCTCACTCCCCCCCTCTCATAGCCTTTCTCCCTCCAAAAGGAGTGGTTGTGGCACTTTGAAATGATCAGCATGTGAAACTCAAGACAAGCTGTGAGCTGGGCTGGCTTTCCCTAGAGCATTCCCAGTCCTTGCCAACGCTACCAGTATTAGAGCCAAGCCCAGGCCAGCCCCTGCAACATCTGTCCTTTCAAACTATCTTTCATAAAAATAATTTCTATGGCAGCAATAGATCCAGACATGTGCTCTCCCCTTCCCACTTTTGAAGAGCTAGACTCATGCTTTAAAGCCCAGTGCCCACACAGACCCTTCCACTTCACTTTACAAACTACTTGCTGAGCCCTTAACCCAGTTCTTAAGTGGGGTTTAAAACATATACTGGTCCTCCCACTGGACCCTTCCATCCCTTGTATCTTGAAGGAGGCCACTTACATATACAGAGAAGAACATTTATGGAAAAAATGGAAGCTCAAGCAGCCAAATGTCCCAAATTACCATTCTGTGGATGAATCAGAAGCACAAATGATCACAGATAGAATTGTACTGAACAATGAATGGAGGCCAGAAATGGATTTGGAGTCTCTGACTTAAACTCTTAGAAAGGATAGTAAAGAATTGCAGTATTGGCCTCCGCTTATAATGGAAGATTGACTTGCTGCAACCTACAAGACAATTTACATTGCTACCAGTAAGATTAGCTTCCATCTGGTCTTTTTGCACAACCAGGAAGCATGAGGGAGGCAGAGTATGTGATAAAAGTCAGGCACAATGAAAACATGTGGACTCGTGGAGCCAGAGTCCTAGCAGGTATAGTAAGTCAGGTGAGCTATATCGTTATTCGTATATGCTATATCATTATATATATATATATATATAGCTGACTATCTGTACCACAGAGTAAAGATTTTACAGGGCTCGTGCTATTGCCAGAACTCACCTCTCTAAAGAGGTAATGAGTGGAAACATAACATTCAGATCATGTAAGTCATCATAGGCAAGTCTCACATTTAGAGCTGGCTGGAAAGTGAAAAAAAGGTCATGGAAATTTGATATAATTTCCTCTATTTTGAGGTTAAAATATGAAAATCCAACTTTTTTTCTCATCTCAAGCAAAAGATCATAACTAGCTTCTCAATTTCAAGATGACTCTGTCAATGTTTCTTTTTTTTTTTTAAGAAAATTTAAAATTTAATCCAAAAATATTGTTGAAAAATCAAATTTCAGAAAATGTTGATATGGCTCATTCCCCAGGAATATGAGACTTTATCTGAGCTCTCAGGGATTCATGATGGACCTCAGAGTATTTTAAAAGGAAGTGAGTCCAATCAATTCTGGAAACTAAAATAAATGATCTTTTACTAGAATAAGTTAAGATTTAGCCTTGCCAGGATGTGAAGAGGTCTGGAACCTGTCATATATATACTGAGCAAGTACAACGTAACTAGCTTGGCTGATAGTGTCAATGGAGTCATCAGAGATACAAGTATTTATCTAAGTAATTGCAGAGGAGAAAACATTAAGAACATGGCACATGTTAAAAATGATTCCTAATTAAAATGTTATTTAATAAACAGGCTCATTTTATTACTCATGGATCTAAAAAAAAAATCTAATAAGTGACTGCTAAACAAGTAATTAGAAGGCTAATAAAGCTCTCCATTCTGATTAGGGAAAATATTCATTTCATGACCATCTAGTGATCCATCTTCCACTGCAGCTGTCAAAGGAGGAAGGCTGCAGCCGTTTAGAGATGTGCTACTGTTATTAAGATTATGTAATATTGCTATTATCATTTGTAACAGTAATAAAGCTTCTGAACTAGTTCTGATGGTAATTAATGACCAGGCAGCTAATATGTTAACTGCTCTCCATGCTGCTTTGTGTGTCAAGCAAATCTACTCACCCGAATTCTTGATAGAGGCAGGGTCAATTCTGCAAGATGCTGACTACCCTCTTCTATCATCAACAGCTGGTGATGCTCAGCATCCAGTAGGAAACCCTTGGCTCAGTGAACTTAATTAATTTAAACTGGAATGGGTTCAAAGAAGGTCCACTGAGATGGTTAAGGGAATGGAAACATTTTCTTATAAAAGGAAATTAAAGGAGTTTGGATTGTTCCATTTAGCAAAATGGATATTGAGGAAGGACACGATCACACTTGAAGTAATGTGTGGGAATCTCAAGGAAAAAACTTTGAATGAGGGGATATTATAAACATTAAGGAAGGGGAAGAGCTGTTTGGGCTGAAAAACATCACTGGCACAAGATCAAGTGTCTACAAATTGGATATGGATAAATTCAAGTTGGAAATTAGAAGAGTATTTCCAACTATCAGAGGAATGGAGCTTTGAAAAGTTCTTCTAAAACAAACAGTAGTGGCAAAGAACCTTAACTGCTTTAAAGTGAATTGGAAAAGTTTATGGAGGGGATGGTCTAATAGGACAGGGAATTCTGGCTTAACTAGTGGTGAGAATGATGTGGACTCATGCGCTTGTGGTCCAAATTTGGTGTAAGAGGTATCTCTCACCTTGTGGATGACATCTGGTAATTCCATGACTTGGGGCTTTTGCTGGTCACTAGCAAGGAATACTTTCCCTCTCATGAATGCCGTTGGCTTCTCTCAGGGACACTCTTTACCCGTACAACACTCTCTCTTCTCAACCTCAAACTTTCTACATCATCCTTCTTCATCTTGGCTTCTTTTTTACCCCTCAGCTCTTTTTTGTTACAGAACCTGGCCCCTTCAAGCAGTCTGTTATCTCCCTGCAATCTCTCTTTCTCTTGCTGCAAAGCATTTAGAGGTCCTTTCCCTCCACCAATAGACAAGACCTCTCCCAGTCTTTTCCTCTCCTCCAGGTGACCCCTTGTATGTGCTTTTGCATCTGTATGATCCCACAAGGGCTCTCCATTTCTTCCCTGCAGTTCCTTCCACTTGTGTCTGGTCTTTGATAGTCATCCTCTGCGTGAACCCTCACAGGCCCTCCTTCAAAGTATTTTCTTTCATTCTTACTCCTTGAGACACTTCTTTGCCCTTTCTTTTCACTTCCAGAGCCTGCCTTACATATATCCTGCTTATAGCAGGAGAGATGTCTGCAGTCCTCTCATTTCACTTTGATACAGTTTTTCCCTCTGCCAACTTAGCACAGAGCAAGAACACTGAAGAAGGTACAGGAGCCCCTGCTGCTAGAGCATCATACTGATATCTGCAAACCCCTCTCCTCTTCTCCCAAGCCTCATGCTGAAGGATGGGAAGGAGCTTATCCTTCCCATGCCACCAGCCCAAACAGAGCTTCACCTCCCACAGTTGTTTATTAGATGCATTCCACCATTCCTTAACTCTGATCATCCCTCACTCCCTTCAAGTTTGCTGAAGCGTGTGGGTGCTCAGGGTGATATGGGTAGGCCAGAAGTCATTGTGGAACTAACATTCAAGAAACAAAGGGAATTATTTTTAATCAGACATGATGCTAAGGACTAAAGAGTGCCCAAAACATTTGAGTCACTCTTGCAGTTCTTGCTTGCTCCTGGCTCTTGCAAAAGTCCATGGAAACCAGGGTGCATAAAGAATGCAAGATTGTGCTCCAACACTGCCTGGCCATTTGATTGCATTTGATACAGAATCTACTGTGCAAGTGGACTGACCTCAGAACTTGTCAGCTGCTTCAGAAAACTTCACTCCTTAACTAAACTACAATAGAGAGCAGGCAATCAGCCCCAGTGCCACACTTGCTGATATCCATTTGCAGTGTGGTAATATGGGTTGTGAAGTACAAAAGAAAAAAAAAAAACATTAACTATAAAATGCAGGAGATGAATTCTGAGAATTTGCAGTCTCTTAACCAATATCCTGCTTCCCAGTAGTAGACAGTAGTTAGGAAATTGCTTTGAGATGACATTCAGATTTGATAGTTATACCATCTTCACAGGTACACCTGATGTTTCCCTGCTATAAGTATTTGATGTGGGACAGTTTTATAGTTCTTTCCAAGTTTGCCCTAAAGGTCAAGCACATGAGAAAGGAAGGAAATTACTGGAGAACCATAAAAAAGATAGGCATCACCTACATCATCATAATTTTGGGTGAGCCAGCCTAAAAATAAACCTCCTCTTAAGGTGGCTCAAAAGGAACACCAATCAATGAAACCTGAAAAGCCTTTTGAAAATCTGGGTCCTCTAGTATCATAACGAAGAGCTAATAACATGGCCTGGAAAAATACAGGAGTTTGTATTCTTCCTTCTTTGTGCAAGACACAGAAACTTCAGGAGGAAAACATACTTCAGAAACTACTAAGTGAAAGAAGAGCACAGGTGTGTTCTGTTTCTACCTCTGATGAGAAAGCAGGATACAATTAGCATTCCCCCTGATCTGGAGTATTGTGCATTCTTGCTCCCCAAAGTGAAAGAAACTCATTCACCTTCTCCAAAGGTCAATTCTTGTCATCTCTTTATTTTTAATTTTTGTTTAGAACATACTGTATATTACTAGGGAAAACTATAATGAGATATAAATATCTCATATCTATAAAGCAATTATCTCTCTAAATAGAATTCAGTTCTCAATTGTACTTGGGCAGCAGCTGCTCACTGTTTTGTACAATATGGCTCTAGCAAAAGATCCATGGATGTGCAGTTCAAAGGGGCAAGATCAGTCTTTTATTCAGGACTTATGCACTCCTGCCATTGCACTTGGCTGGTATACTTTTATTGAAAATAAAATTAAATGTAGCTAGAGTTTTTCTGTATTAGACCCACCATCTCTGCTGGAGATGCCTGGGATCTAGAGAGAGAAACCATTCAGATGAACAGGGAACAGAACAAGCATTTTTGGTCCTCAGTTAACCTTAGACCTGAATGCTTCAAACTTATGTTGGTCCAGTTTTTTTGGTGAGAATTCTACACTGGGTTTAGGAGAAGTAGAACTTACTTGTAATGGTCCAAAATGAGGTGGCAAAACATGAATCTCAGAGGCCCCGAGTCATTTCCTACTCAAATGTTATTGGTCTGGTTTGGCTACCCAAACTCACAAGAACCTTACAGTTTGTAACAGGGGGACTTCCTTGGGGCCAGTTTGTCAGTGGTCCATCCACTTGTTTCAGGGCCAACTGCCCATCTGCCACACCTTGATGATACATAATTATGGTGTTAATTAGGTGGGAGGCTGCCCATTCTTGCCCTGATGCCGGGGGGTGGCGGCTATCTGCAGCTCCATGCCTCCCTTACACTGCAGCCCAAGCTTTGCAGATGGCATCCAAGTTAATATTACTCCTGGACTGAGACCAAAGCAAATCAAGTCCAAAGCTGGGTTCCACACACATGCATACTCATATCATCTCCCCTCTCACAGAAGGCCTCTTCTATTCCACCCCTCTCTCACCAGGGCCTCTGGCATACTGCCCATTACCAGGCCACACACCACTGCCTTGCTCCAACTTGAGCGACCCCTCCAGGCCATCAGGCTTCGCTACTCACATACTGGCCTCACCATGCAGTTCCTTTGGTTCCAATGAATTCCCCTACTCTGCGTGATCCAGCTTTGTGCCAAACTCTGGGCTAACTCCACCCCACAGTCCTCACTGGGCAACTCTATACACTCTCACACTGCTCCCAGTCCTCTGGTTTCCCCCTCACTGGGGCTGGTCCATTACTGGGGCTTCTCATCTCCACCTCCTCACTGGGGCCACAGGGCTTCCCTCCCCAGTAGGGGCTCAGGTGGCTATAGCCATGCCTGGCCCCCTTGTACTCACAGTTTTGTGGGTCTAGGGATTAAGGCACCCCAACCCACCTTTCACCAGGTTGGTAGCTAGCCTGGTATTTCCTGGGGGCTCCCACACCACTGGGAGCCCCCCCAGGGCACCGGTAGATTCATAGATTATAGAGTCAGAAGGGACCCAATGGTGTCCAACCCCCTGCCCTTGGCAGGAAAAAGGACCAAGGTCAGATGACCCCAGCCAGGTGATTGTCAAGCCTATTTTTGAAGACCTCTAAGTTAGGTGATAGCACCTATCTTGGAAGCCCATTCTAGACTCTGGCCACCCTTATTGTAAAAAAATTCTTCCTAATGTCTAACATAAATCTGCTCTCCACTAGTTTGCACCCATTATTCTCAGTTACTCCCTGGGGCACTGTGGTAAACAGTGCATCCCCAATTCCCTGCTGTCCTCCCCTGATAAATTTATAGGCAGCTACTAGGTCACCCCTCAGCCATCTTTTATATAGGCTGAAGAGATCCAGATCTCTCAACCTCTCCTTGTAGGGTCTTTCACAGAGAACACTAATCATGCAAGTGGCCCTCCTCTGAACCCTCCCCACATCCTCCCTGTCCCTCTGGAAGTACAGGACACCCACTCCCAGCAGGGTACAGTTTTAGGTCATACCCAGGACCAGGAGCCTCTAAACCATCCCCTTAAGCATCTGCCCCCACCTCCAGGATGCTGCATGAAGCCAAGCTGTGTTTCTACCTGGCCTGCCAGCAGCAAACTGCTCTGTTTATATGGGCACACAGAGAGCTAAAATGGCCACCGCAATCAGGCACCTGCTGGCTGCTTGTCTCAGCCCTTAAAGTGGCAGGCACCAACAGTGCCCTGCCACACAATTGGAAATCCCCACTGCAGGGGACTACTAGATTTTATCCCAGGCCCAGGTATCTTAGGGTCCTGGACTGATGGATTTGTTTGTGTCATAAATGGAGTATGTGAACATTGGATAGGGAAGGAGCCTGATTTAAGAACTTCTCCTGAGCCCAAAAATGCTCTGCCAGCAGCACTACTTGCATTAAAAATGTGCTCTCCTCAAACAATCACATACACTGGGAGGACAGCAAGGGGAGTTTCCCATGCTGTATAACTATAGTACAGTACAGTGCAGTACAAGTGAGTTGCCGTTTCATAAATCTCATCTTACCAAAGCATTCTATATATTTTAAATATTTAAATACCCAACCGTACACGGGACATTGGAGGATCAGCTGGTCAACTAGCCTTGTGTCAGGAGCAGCTACAGAAGAAAATATGCATATGTCTTCTAGGTGCTTAGGAAGTTAAGTGATTTAGTCCCTGCTCTCTCCCCTCTCACAACTAATTGACTGCTCTCTCGTTAAGATACTGGCACTGGGGGAAGGATCACTGAATATATACAGCACTTCTGAGTGGTAAAAGCAGAGCAGAGGAATGTTGACTTCCACTGAATCTCTGTGCTCTGCTGCTCTCCTTTCCCTAATGTAGTTTACAAGAGGCAGAGCTTTTTGTCAGCTTAATAGGTTCCTCCTTGCATTCACACAGGAATAGGCTTTTTACCAGCTGAGTGCAGACTGTTGTTATTTAGCCTAAAGTATAACACGTATCCTTCCTGTTACCCCCAGGCTTATTATATTACTAGCTGTTGCTGTGCCCCTTGTGATAGGCCTGAAGAGCGCTAAATTCAAAGATCAGGGATATGGGTATGTTCAAATCTGGTAGCCTGGCTCACAGCCTACCTAAGCAGTGTCATCAATTGTTCTTCATTGTTGCACTACGTGGGGTCTGTCTTAATTACATCGCAGAGTAGATGTGGCTAAGCTTAATCTGCAAGTTTAAAGCAAAAATCAGCCAACAGAACTATGTAAACAAGTTGAAAATGGCAAAAGGCAAACCATGAGTCTTCCATGAGCTGTGATGACTCTGAAAAAAAGTCTAAACTCCATAAGTCCTGTACTTGAATCACAATCTACTTTACATCTGATAGATCCATGGTATTTAAATTCAGTAGGATACCAAATTGTGTTTTGACTTAAACTGTTCAACAGATCACAGTCATGAGGATAAAGTTTGCACCTGGCAGATGCAAACTTGGGGAGATCTAACACAAAGCTGCTTTATGGAACAGCCTACAACTTAGTTATGGACACTTGTTTGAAAAATCAGGAAGGAAAGAGGGGATAAAAAAAACATAAGAACAACACAGAATGCTACATAATATGAAACTTCATTTCTGGATCATCAGAGGAGAAAGGACTCACATGGAGATTGTTGGGTTTGTGCCTATTATACAGGGTCAGATTAATTTCTGATGAAACTCATAGAAAAATGAAACTGGAAAGGACCTCAGAAAGCCATGTAGTCTAATTTCTTGCTCAAGGCAGGGTCACCCCTGTCTAAACTATCTCACTCAGTGTTTGTCTAACCTGCTCTTAGAAACTCCCAAAGACTGAGATTCTGTAACCTCCCTAGGTATTTTTTTCCAGTGCTTAATCACTCTCAGAGTGAAAGTTCTGCTAATATTTACTGGATCTCCCTTACTGCAATTTAAGACTGTTACCCCTTGTCTTGTCCTCCTGTGGACAGAGGGTGACTGGCAGCCTTTTTTTAACCACCGTTCAGTTATTTAAGGACTGTTACCAAAACTTGCTCTGCACACTCAATTTTTTCTTCCCCAGACCAAATAATCCCAATTCTTCCACCCTTTTCCTTAAGTCATATTTCTTAGCCCTCTAATAATGTTGTTGCTTTCCTCTGGGCTCTTTCCAATTTGTCCACATATTACTTGAAGTTCAGTATGGAGTTCTGTGACTTGCATACAACATTCCTTTGTGGTGGGCTTGCCGGCAGCAGCCCGGCTTGCTGGCTCTAAGGCCTCCAAGTGATCGGTGGGGTGTTCCCACCAATCAGGTGATGGCAGGGGAGAGGCTTGTCCTGCCCCTACCCAGGGCTGAAACTAAGAGCTGGACCTGAGAGGGGACTAACCCCCCCATCTCCAGTTGGTCCATTTGCAATCTGGGGGTGGAGCTTTTGGAGGGAATAAAAGGGCAGCGTGTCCAGCACATGGGTGGCTGCATCAAGGGATGAAGAAGAGGGAGGAAGAAGAGATGGTAGAGCTGGCCAGTGGGGTGGAGCAGTAGACCTGAAGAGCCATAAGACAGATTGTTGGACAGGAGTAGCAAGTGGCCGTGTTCCCCAACCCCACCATAAGGAGGCGAGCATTGGTGCACAGCCAGTGCACAGAAGATCCTGGAGGGACCAAGACCCTGGGAGCTGCAGAAGGCAGCTCAGGTCTCCAACCCCCTGCACAAGGCAGGGTGAGTGGTGCACAGCTGGTGCATGGAAGGTCCAGAAGTGGACCAAGACCCTGGTGCTGCACAAGTCAGCTCAGGTCTCCAACCCATGGCACAAGGTAGGGCCAATGGTGCATGGAGTGGTGCTCAGGGCCCCGAGCAGGCTGGAGGCCGGGAGAGCCCCAAAGCATCTGAGGCCCCCTGCTGAGGGAAAATACGCCTTGCTCTGGAAGATGAGGACAGCCTCACTGGGCCTTTGGAGGAGTTGTGAGTTGCCTGGGAAAGAGATTCCCACGGGGAGGAGGGTCTTTCCCCCTGTGATGAGCAGCTGGGGTATTTAAGTTGGTTAAAGGGGCAGCTGGGGCTGCTGGGGCTCCCCACTCCCTTCCTTTCATCCAGAGCCATTCCTTCTCGTGGGGTGTTGCTATTGTTTTAATATAGCTTATTGGGTTTTTTCTTCTTTATTTCCCCTGGGCCCTGCGCCTCATATTTTGTGAACCCTGCGCCTCATATTTTGTAAAGTAGCATTCCATTAAAGTATAAGATTTGCATGACTTCTATGAGATTCTTACTTTGATCCCTTTTTTGATTCCTCACCTGTATATAGTGTTTGCATTGACCTGTATATAAGCTGTTTTAGCTCCTATATCTTATGTGTAAATATGTTAAACCTATAACTTTTATATCTTATTAAATTTGTACATAGTTGAGCCTTAACATGTGTCCTGGCCCTGCTCTATAGGGGAAGGAGGGAAACTGTGTCATAGGCAGTTTCACCCCTCAGCGCACCTGCCCTGCTAACATTCCCTTCATTTGGAGAGGGGAATATATCATTGGGTACCACCCAGTTTACACCTTTTAATAGAGTTCCATATTCTATTAGCTTTTCTTTTTTGCAATAAGAGCACACTGTTGACTCTTATTCACAGTGGTCGCCAGGTCTTTCTAAAGTACCACAGCTTAGCCAGTCATTCCTCATGTACATTTGATTATTTCTTCTCAGGGCAGTACTTTGCACTTGTCCTTATTACATTTCATCAGATTTATTTCAGACAATTTTTCTAGCTTATCAGGGTCATTTTGAATCCTAATTCTGTCCTCTTAAGTGTCTGCTACCCCAACCAGTTTGGTATAATTTGCAAATTTACTAAGTGTGCTCTCACTTCCATCCTGCAAGTGAAGAGCCCCCAGGCACACCACTTGACTTCACTGACTTCAGAGGAATTTTGTTGACTTTACTGGACGAATGTTTTGCCTGATGCAAAAAAACACATGAAGAGATCAGAAAAGTCATGGGGTAATGGAGGTGGAAATCCACCTACCAGTCTTCTTCTGTAGGTGGGTAGGCACCGGACCATCCATATAATTGTATCCTGTTTGTAAAAGTCATGAGAATTATGATGTTTTTTACTTGAGAATACAAAAGATGTGAATTGTGTTAAAACAAGTGGAGAATGGCGAATTGTCCATGATTACCAACGGATATGCAAGAGATATGTTCTGCAAACTACAAATAACTGACCTTGGGTAACAGGAAAAGTGAGGACATTACACTGTATTCAGGAAATAGGAGATAATGAAATAAATGCCTAGTAAAGCATGCAAATTGCAACCAAATAAAACTGTTTCCCCCCACCCCAAATTCCATGGTTTACTCTCCTAAGAATCCCATAGAGTTTTTTCCACTATATTAATGTAGCAATATAATATATATAAACACTCCATAATTTACCTCCTTGAAAACTACCTGAGATTCTTTGGGTAAGAACCACCTTTCATTTACATTTCCCTGGGGCACACAGTGATACAGCCTTAAGCCTGAAAAGGGAGTGAGGGTGCTCCTCAAATACAAACAGGAAGAGAGAACGTCTAGGTCCTTGGCCATCAGTTAAGGAAATCTGTCTCTCATTCCAATCTCTGCTTTTCTGTGTGACCTTCAGGAAACCATGCACCTACTAAGTGCCTATCCATGAAATGAAAGAAATACTACTTCATTTTCCCTAACCTTTGGTCTTGTCTACCCTGAGAAAATGAACAATATTCTAAAATGTGTTAAACACCATGTAGCACCCAATATAGAAAATACTTTAAAGCATTATTTACTACTGGTCATGTTTAACCTTAGGACATCATGCCTTTGGCTATAGTAGGCAAAAAATCCTGTCTCCCCCTTCCTCAAGTCAATGATTTCCACTGAAGTCATGATTTCACTATGGGTATTTATATGGGTATTCACAACAGGCATGTTAACATGTAATCAAATGCTACTCATTTTCCAATGCTGGCATGGCTTTTGCCTTTCTTGTTTATTTAAGTTCATAACTGTCTCCTATATGTTCATATGGTACCTAAAAAACAAAACCACCCAAGCTTCGGTATTATCCCTGTTTCAAACTGGAATAAATTATCAGGTTTTTCATTTAAAAACTTCCCCTGTTGGAAAACAT